GCTTTAAATCATTTACAATCTATTTTATATAGACACAAGAAAAGTTTCTTCGATTATCCTAATATGCCTCTACCAGATACTTTTTCCAACTCACTTTCTCTAATTACAGACAAACAAAGTTATAATATCAACGAATTAACTAATATAGTTAAAGCTGGAGTACCTCAATTAAATCCAAAGCAACTCACCATTTTCAACAAAGTAATTGCTGCAGTTGACAATCGAAATCCTACTGTTTTTTTATTGACGGTCCAGGTGGAACGGGAAAAACATTCCTATACAAGTAATAATTATTATTACTTTTAATGTTTGTTTTATTTACTTTTTTTTGTATTTCTCTTACCATCTTTTTATTTTATTTATAGTATTATACTTGTACAAGTTTATTTAACTAGACGTATAGCTCTTACCGTTGCATCTTCAGGCATTGCTTCCTTTCTTTTACCAGGTGGTCATACAGTATATTCTCAGTTTAAGATTTTACTCAAATTACATGACAAGTCTACCTGTTTTATTTCACAAGATTCAGAATTAGCTTTACTTCTACAAAAAACAAGCCTTATTGTATGGGATGAAGCACCAATAGCATATAGATACTCTCTTAAAGCTCTTGATTGCACTCTAAAAGATATTATGAAGATTATAGATCTGACATTAGAATACCGCCCTTTTGGAGGTAAGGTTGTAGTATTCGGAGACGATTTCTACCAAATTCTTCTAGTAGTAGTAAAAGGTGGTCATGAAGAAATTGTAGCATCCTGTTTACAACGATCTCACTTATAGAAATATGTTGAAGTTTTGATTTTAAAAACAAATATACATCTTCACCATACTACTAATTCTACTGATGCGCATAAGCAAGAAAAATTTGCTAAGTGGCTTATTCAACTTGGTAAAGGCAGGATTCCTACTATTACTACTGAAAAAAATACTATTCAACTTCCTGAAGACATTATCCTACACTCACAAGATCTAAACAACCTTATAGGATTTGTATATCCTACTTTTTCCCCACTTTTCAATTTTCAGTATCTGGTCAAACGTGCGATACTTGCACCTAAAAATGATCAAGTTGATACTATTAATTTTACTATTATCGATCAGTTTCCTAGAAATGCTTCAACATATCTTAGCGCTGACTCAATTGAAGAACAAACTGAAACTAGCAATTTGTATCCTATTGAATTTCTTAACTCTTTGAATGTTGGAGGTCTTTCTTCACATAAACTAATCTTAAAACCAGATGCTCCCGTTATATTATTACAAAATCTCAATCCTTTAGACGGCCTTTGTAACAGAACTAGATTAATTTGCTACTCTTTTCAAAAACATGTTATTGATGCAGAAATTATTACCAGAAAATATTCTGAAACCTGAGTTTTCCTTTCTCGCCTTACTCTTACTCCTTCGAATTTAGATTTACTATTCACTCTTAAACGTCACTAATTTCTTATTTAACCAGCATTTGCCCTTACTATCAATAAATCTTAGGGCCAAATATTAAATTGCGTTGGATTATATCTTCCAACCCCAGTATTCTCCCATGGTTAATTATACATTGCATGCTCTCGAGTTATTTCCTATCACAATTTAAAAGTACTTATTACTAATTCTGAAGATAATAATACTAATCCATGTACTATTACTTCTAATATTGTATATCCCAAAGTGTTTCAATAAAATTGTATTTCTTTTTTTTCTATTTATAACAAATATATTTTATAG